CGTGGAACTCAAGGGGCAGCCAAAGAGGCAGCTGGACAAAGGGTTCTGAGCTCAGGAGGGGCCATGCTTGGGGGGTCTCTCACGTGCCTTGCGTGAAGCTCTTCCTGCTGAGATTGCCTCTAGGGGGTCTGCCTGAGCCCTGTGAATCCACACCACCCCCAGTCATCAGATGCTTCCTGGATGAGATCTGTGCAGAGGTGAGCCTGGAGAAGCTTCTACACAGGCACACGGTCTATTTTTGAGAGATAAAATTCCATCCAGTGGGTCCTGCACTCCAGGCTCTGGGCTCTCCACCTTCATGGCGGCTCTTCTGCCTCCCTGGCATTTCCCTTCCTCAAATTCCATCCAACCTTTCCAGCCCCACACACCCACCATTGCCTCCCCCAGGAGGACTTCCTGCCTACTCTGACCCCAAACTCCCAACTGACCTCTGACTTTTGAACCCTCACAGCTCTGATGGCCTGAGTCACACACACACCTCTGTTCTCTGCCCCCCAAAAGTGAGGTTTGGGTCTGCCACTCTTCCCCTCCACCCTATGAGGGCCCCTGGGCGCAGTACTGGTTGTGGCGGGTACAGCACTGGCAGTGGTGGCATTGCCATGGCACCAGCATGGCCCATGGCTCTGCTGGGCATGGTGCAGGCACTGAGGGGCTCTGGGCTCTGACTGCCAGAGAAATCACTGTGGGGACGACCCTCCTCCTTACTCTTCGCAGACCACCTCACTAGGCAGCCACAGCGACCGGGAAAAAAACCCGGATAGGCTCTGCAAGCCTGTGATCGCAACATTTTTGTCAACTGATTGATACATAACCTTGTTTTATGTCTGTTTCTGTTTACAGACAGCTTGTTTAATATGTATTATTGATTCCTTAACATTGAACTAAGGGGTTGGGGGAGTAGGGGTGTACAGATCGGAGGACTGAGGCCATGGCCAGAGTGCAAGCAGAGTGCAGGTGGAAATGCCTGCAGGGCCTGGTGGGAGGGCCTGGCTGTGCTCCATGAGAGCTCCAGCTGGGCCCAAGTTAGGACTGAGTAAGGAGCCGCAAAGGACACGGGCTGCAGGCAGGGTCCGGGCTCAGGCTGGGGCTGAGGCCACAACTCCAAGTCTGGTCTGTGTTGAGCAAGCCGGTGTGCCAAGGGTCTGCTCCTAGGTCACCGTGGCCGCTGAGCTGAGGTGCTCTGCGAAGAGTCAAGAGGAAGGTCGTCCCCCAAAACAATCTCTCCAGCAGCCAGAGCCCAGAGCCCCTCTGTGCCTGCGCCACACCCAGCAGAGCCACAGGCCACGCCGGTGCCATGGCGATGCCACCACTGCCAGCCTTCCCCAGTCCCGTAACCATGGGAATGTGCACAGGGCCTCAGGCTGATTATGCAACGCCTCTGAGGGAGGGAGACTCGCAGGCCCTGACCTACTCCCGAGGGACGCCTGTGGGGAAGCTGGAACCCAAGCAAGGTCCCACCTGTTACCCCCCAGGGAAGGGAGTGGCAAGCTGAAGGTCACACAGCCCTCGCTCGCATGCACAGCACCCTGCCTGGGAGGGGACGGCCATGAGAGGAAGACGGGAGAGTTAGAGAGAGAGGGAGGGAGGGAGGGAGGGATGGCATGGGGGATGGGCAGAGAGCACTCCGGAGGAGAATTCTGACAGATGGGGCTGGCTAGCCATCTGCATGCCCGCAGAAAGCTCCGGCCACCTCCGGCCAGCCCCGGGACCCAGATGTTTGGTATCATGGAGATGGGGCAGCTGCCTGATGGGCTGCTCTGTTGCTTCCCCACAGCTGAAATCTGGGGCCTCATAAAGAGAAAGATGCAGAGAGACAGAGAGTGTACAAGAGCGAGCCAGAAGAGAAAAATCCACACGAGAGAGTCACACAGATGAGGCAGAACAGACTGTCAGAAAATAATAATAATAATAATAATAATAATAATAATATCTGCAGTTTCCTGTTGGTTTCCAAGGCCTGGATCTGCTGAAGGCAGTCCTGTTCCTAACAGTTCCAGGGCCAGGACCTCTGGCAGCCCCAGAGCTGGGAAGGTGAAGCCATAGCAGGATGGCTGGACTGGTCGCCCAAGCTCTGGAGGGCAGGGGGCCAGTGCCTGGGGCTTTTCGGTTCCCGCTCTGCACCCTGAGTCCTCTCCACCCCGCCCTGTCTGGACTCTCCCTCTGGTCTGCCTCTCCTCACTCCCTGTATCCCACCTCTGCCCCAGCCTCCTCTTTGTAACCCCCAGGCTCCTGCAGCCGCTTCCCCACCTTCATGGCTGGAGGCTCTGGCTCGAAGGTCATCCTTGCCCTTCGACCCCAGCCTTTGTCTTGAGTGACAGCAGTGCCCAGGCTGATGACCTGTCACCCACTGACAGGTCCCTGCCCTTCCTTCTCTCAGGGACCTCCTTGACCCCCAGCAGACACCCCTCCCACACCAACACGGAGCCCATGCTACTGCTGGAAGTCACACCAGCTGTGCTGCAAAGCATTCTGTTCTGACCACACCCTTCTGTCTTCCCAGAACGCTTCCTCTGCACCCCCACCCAGCCCTACCACCTAATACTCCACTCCCTTCCAGCAGGCCCTCCAGCAGGGACCCTGTGGCATTGCACAGTTACTCTCTGACAAACACCTAGAAGTGCCTCGTGCCTCGGCCTTTGGGGCAAAACCCCACCCTTAATGAGCCCAAATCAGTTTTGTCTGTACCAGACATTCTACTAGAAAAAGTGGTCTCACTCCAAGTTTCCGCTCTCGGGGGAGCTGACCCGCCAACACGGCAACTGCATGTTCTTCCCTACCTGCTTGTCCTCCCACCTCTGCTGCAGCTGCTTCCATCTTCCTCACTCTCAAGACCCACCCACTCTCCACTCCCACCCGCTGTTGACGCCCACCTCCAGCAGGCCAGGAACCTCGCCTTCATGATGAATGCAGGAGCCAGCAGCTGGCCTCCCTCTCCTGCCCACCCCCAGGCCGCACAGCCAGCTGCCAGCCTGTGGGGCAGAGTCCCCTTTCCCAGCTAAGGCCCCCCACACTGGTTCGGGACCTGCCTTCTCACTCCTTGACCACCCCGCTGCATGACGTGCTCCCCATTCTTCAGTGACTCCCATATCCACTTCGTAGCATTTTTCCAGGCTGTCCTCTTACAACAAAACCAAATGACTCCTCCCACTCCCCTCCGGCTCCCCCCGCCCTCCCAGAGGAGCCTCGGTAAAGGGTTGTTCTCCTGGACTGCCCCAGCCGCTCCGTCTCGGCACCCTTGAGCCCAGCCTCCGGGTCCATCCTCTGCCAAATCCGCTCTCCTGTGAGCTGTGCCTCCAAATCCTCTCATAAAGGCTTCTCAGCCGGCTCGCCAGCCCCTCGCTGGGACAATCTTTGTTGGGGCCCCAGGATCCCACATTCATCTGGTTCTACTCCCGCCTCTCTGAGCACTCCTTCCCCGGTTCCACCTCCTTCGGGGGGTCCTGCTCCCTCGTGGGATTGTGAATGTGTGGATCTCTCCAGGCTCAGCTCTCAGTCCCCTTCTCATCCTGCGCCTCACTCTCACTGCGGTGTGGCCCCACCCATGCCCTTGGCATCAAACACCACCAATATGCCACCACTCACGAACTCCACTTCTGAGCCAGGCCTTGCTCCTCACTCCAACCCGCTGCTTGGCATCCTGCTGGCTGTCTCAATGCACACCAAACCCAATGTGCCCAAACTGAGCTGTTCCTGCTCTTCCCCCAAAAGCTTGCTCCTCTCTGTCTCCCCTCATTCCAGTAGGCTTCTGGGATGCCTCCGTCCGTCTTCTTGCTCTCACACACAGTTTCATCCCTGAGTTAGATAGCTTTAGACTCGGTCCTTACTTTTCCACCACTATCACCCTAGTCCATGTCTCCATTTCCAGCCTCCCTGCTTCCAGTGGAGGTCTCTGCCTGAAATTCGGTCTTCGTATACCAGCCAGAGTGATCATTTAAAACACCTAAGTCTCGTCACATCATACACTTCAGTCCCTCTTGGGATGAGTCCTTAGCATAGCTTTCCTGATCCTGCATGATCTGGGTGCCACTCACCCTATGCTCCCTTTTTCTTGCTAAGATCCAACCACAGTAGCTAACTTGCATCTCCTCCCACACCGAGCTCCTTCCCACCTTCCACCTCGGCGCCTTCGCACGTGCTGTTTCCTCTACCTGGTTTTGTTTTAATTCATTTCTTTGCCTGGTCAACTCATTCTCATGGTTCCAATCACAGCTTAGCGGTCACGTCCTCCAGGAAGCCTTTTTATTTTTTACACTTCCAGTGTAGGTCTGGTCCTCTAGATATTTGTTCTCCCAACACTTTACTGTTCTTTCTGCATCTATCATCATTATTATGTGATTGCTTGAATGGTGTGCTTGTCTCTAGGTGCCACGCATCTGTCATGCTTGTGGCCAGCCAGCATATTCTGAACGCCCTTCTCGTGTGTGAGAACCTTGCCACAGTAGGAGGGCCCTCTCCGAGCTAGAGGTCTGAGCTTGCTGTACCAGCCTTCCTTGCAGCTAGTGGGCAGGGTCACTAGACTGTGCCATCAGGGGTAACTCTGTGGGACTTAGATCTGGAAGAGAGCAATAAGAGGAAGCTGGTGCCAGGTGGAATCAAATTTTTGGCCAGCATGGCAGGGAAGGAGTTTGGCTTTTCAGGACAGCCATGTGGTGGTTCTGGCATTCTGTCCCTGGTGTTGGTGGTGTGAGCAGCTGTGTCCATGACCAAAAGTGGTGAAATGAGGAATTTGCCACAGTGGCCCCCTGGTGTGGGATGGCCACTGCCTCTGGGCCTGAGCTCGGGCCCTCCTAGAGATAGGGGAGCTACCTGATGTCCTTAAACTTGTCATGTTTTTGCTTAACTCAGCCAGAGTGGGTCCTGTTGTCTGCAACAGAGACCCCTAAAAAATGCCTTCTGTATCAGTCAGGATTCTCCAGAGAATAAAACCAACATTTTATATACACACACCACACACAGCACACACACCACACACACACACACACACACACACACGGTGTAGAAAGAGCTTTATTGTATGGCATTGGCCCATGCAGTTAGGGAGGCTGATAAGTCAATCTGCCCTCTGCAAGCCAGAGACCCCAGAGGGCAGGTGGTATATTCGAAGGCCTAAGAACCAGGATCCTGGAGGGCAGAAGATAGATGTTCCAGCTCAACAGCCAGGCAGAGAAAGCTCAAGCTCAACTTCCTCTGCCCTTTTTTTTTTTTTTCTATTCAGACTTTCAAGGGTTGGCTGGTGCCTGCTCACTGGGTAGGGCCATCACTTTACTCAGTCTGCCAATTCAAATGTTAAGCCCTTCCAGAAACGCCGCCACAGACACTCCCACAAACAATCACTAATCCAATACCAGAGCATCCTGTGGCCAAATCATATTGACATGTAAAATTGGCCATTGCCAACCAGACCCTAAGCCCCTTGCATAGGGGAACATTTGGGAGTTGCTTGTAGCTGTATTTTCAGACTCTAGCAAGGTGCCTGTTCCCCAGGTACTCAGTGGACACTCAGCACATGGATAAATGTGTGGCTGGGCAGACCCAGAGTCCTCGCAGGAATGCCATGGAAGTCCCTAGAGAGAACGAAGCCGAGGCCTGATAGCACCCTCCTACCCGAACTTTCCTCCAAGTATTGCTCTCTGAACTGAGACCAGCCCCATTCCGCTTCCTGCCCAGCAGACAGTAGAAAGGGACCACTGTGCAGCCTGGCCTGGTGGGGCTTTAGGGTCTACACCCCCTGCCTGAGTACCCTCATCCAGGAAGCCTTCCCTGACTGCTCCTGCCCACACCCACACCCGGTCCTCGGGTCCTCGGAGCTCCCACATCCCAGAGAGTCTGAACCCGGCACAGCAGTTCTCACATCTAGGTTCAGGCTCATCTGTGGGGATCTTAACATTCCTGGGGGCTCTCTGGGGACAGTGAATGGGCCCTTCATTTTCCTCTCTCCTCCTCTTTCTCACAGAGGAGCCTGAACATAACAGGAGGGAAAGTCCGAGTTCCTTCCTTCTCTTTAGGAAGTTCTCCTCTCAGGACCCGCGGGGAGGCTGGCTGGAAGGAGGACACCAGAGTAGATGGGGGTGAGTCCTGCAGAAAGCCCGGGACACAGGGAAGTCCCTGGAAGCTCCGGATCTTGCACGAGCTCTAGTAGGCCCTGATTCTCCTGACTCTTCAGCTCTCACTCTTCTTTATCTGCTTCTTAGTCATCAACACTGGGGTCTGGGGCGGGGGGCGGGGGGCGGGGTGTGTGGGGATGTCTCGTTCCTCCACACTCCCGCCAGGACCCTCCCTCCTTACCTAGGCTGTCCAGACCAGCAGCCCTTTCTCCATCAGCCCCTTCTGCTTGCTGGGCCCTAGTCAGGCCGCGGGGGTCCTGCGTCCATCTCCAGCACCAGCTCCGGCAGGCAGCACCGCCGGCCCAGCCAGGGCTCTTGGCTGCAGTTAGACTGCCACCTGGTGGCCAGAATGTTCATTGTGCTTTTCAGCCCAGCTCGTTGCCCGCCATCCAGTGTCTCTGGTGAGACTCCCTCAGATATCACCTCCTGAGCAAACCCGCCGCCCCGCCCCCCACCCGGGTTCAGATGAGGAAGAGCTTGCCAGTCAAAGGATCTGCCCAGGAACCTGCATTGTAGGCCCAGTCTGCGAATCCCTGTCATGGAAGAGACAAGAGAAGTGATAGGAATTTGAGGCTCCAGTTGAAACTAAAAGGGAACAAGTGGTGAACGTGGCAGTCATTGTGAAACCTCTAGGCGAGGGATGGACAGTTCACAGAGTGAGCTGCTTCTGCCCACTGCCAATACCGTACACTCACTGCTGACACTAATGGCTAACTAACCACCATCTAACATTAACGCTAACTACTCACTGCTAACCAACCACTAACACTAATCACTAATGAACCACCAACACTAACTACGCACTAACTACCACTAACTCCTTACTGCTAACTAACCAGTAACACTAACCACTAAATAACATTAAAAACACTAACAGCTAGCTGCTAAACTAACTGGTAACTAATCACTAACACTAACCACTAATATTGACTAATGCTAACCACTCACTACTAACCACTAATATCACTAATGAACAACTAACACACTAACCACTGGCCACTAACTACCACTAACCACTAACTGCTAACTAACCAGTAACACTGAACACTAAACTTTAGCTAACTAGCACTAACATCTAACTGCTAACACTAACTCCTAACAAGCCACTAATACTAACCACTAATGAACCGCTAATACTAACACTAACTGCTGACTAGCCACTACCACTAACCACTACCTGCTAACTAACCAGTAACACTAACCATTAAATAGCATTAACACAGCTAACTGCTAAACTAACTGGTAACTAATCACCAACATTAACCACCAACTGATATTAACTAATGCTAACCACTAACTCTACCAATTGCTAACCACTAAAATTAATCACAACTGATATTAAAGAGCACTGACCAAGCTAACACTAACTACTATCACCACTATGCTAACACCATTACTAACACTACTAACACCAGTTAAAACTCAGAGAAACAAACTTCCTTTCATACATTTTTTTTTCACATATACCTCAAAAAGACAAAAATTTAAACTCCTAGACCTTCCGAATAAATTATCCTAATGTGGAAGAATGTTTAAACCAATGCAATGCACATGACAAGACAAAAGCTTATGCCAGCCAGGCACAGTGGCTCATGCCTGTAATTCCAGCACTTGGGAGACCAAGGCAGGAGGATTGCTTGAGCCCCAGGAGTTTGAGACCAGATTGGGCAATATACTGAGACCCTGTCTCTACAAAAACATCTTAAAATTAGCCAGTATGGTGGTGCATGCCTGTTGTTTCAGCTACTTGGGAAGGCTGAGGCAGGAGGATCACTTGAGCCCAGAAAGTTGAGGCAGCGGTGAGCTGTGATCGCTTTACTGCACTCCAGCCTGGCCTACAGGTGAGACCCTGTCTCAGAAAATAATAACAATGTAGAAAAACCATAACATTTATATTGTTTGTGCGAGAATTCTCTAGACCAATTTTCTGGGAGGCAATTTGGCAACAGGTACTAAAAGACTTACGTGCATTGCATTGGTTCAAACATTCTTCCAATTTAGGAGAATTTATTCTGAAGGTCTAGGAGTTTAAGTTTTTGTCTTTTTGGGGTATACGTGAAAAAAAAATGTATGCAAGGAAGTTTATCATCACCAATACTTATTTTTTAAATTGAGAGAAAATTTCACCAATATAATACCTGCTAAATAACTATTGGTTAAATAAATAATATTGTATAGACTTTTCAAATTATGTAGCAGAAAAATTGTCTGCAAGTGTTCTCTAGCAAACTCCCATTCACTCATTTTTAATAACTGCTTTATTGAGATATAATTCACATACTATAACATTCACCCTTTTAAAAAAGTGTATGATTCAGTGGTTTTCTTGTATTCCCAGAGTTTGCAACCATCATCACTATCTAATTTTAGAACTTTTCATTACCTCAAACAGAAAAAAATGGAGCTAACATCCCATCATATGGATATTCCACATTTTGTTAATTCATTCATAAGTTGATGGATGTTTAGGTTGTTTCCACTTCTTGGCTACTATGAATAATGATGTTATGAATATTCATGTACAAGTTTTGTGTAGGCATACATTTTCAATTCCCTTGCCTATACACCTTGGAGTGGATTTTCTGAATAATTCAGTGTTTGACTTTGTGAGCAACTGTGCAACTTTTTACCAAAACACCTGACAATTCTCTGATCCCACTAGCAATACATGAGGGTTCCAATTTCTATACATTCTTGCCAATATTTGTTATCGGCTATTTTGTTTTCTTTTTAGCCATCCTCATGGACATGAAACAATATTGCATTGTGGTTTTGATTTATATTTTCCTAATGAGTAATGATATTGAACATCTTTTCATGTGCTTGTTGGCCATCTATATATAATATATATTGTTTTAATGCATAAAAATCATATGCAATTTTACAAATGTAATATGATCTCTAGATGTTTCCAAAACACACAAAAAAAATCTTTCTGGAAACGTACAAAATGTACCAAAAGAATGTCTTGGTAATAAGATTATGATTGATTTTTTTTTTAATCCTTCTGTATCTCCTAAATGCCTGCAATGAGTATGAATTACTTTTATGATTTGACACTGAATATGATTGGTTTTCAGACTGGGCCCGCACTTTGACATTTGTCTGTCCAGGAAGGTGCCAGGCAGCTGGGCGTCATGGGCAACAGTGTGGCCTTGGGCTTCATGTAGCTGTGTCTCCATTCCCTGGAACTCTCACAACTGTAAGGGAGGAGGATGTCCGTCCACGGCCTCCACCAGATACACACTTGTGAGCCAGCACAGGTAAAGGATGCCTACTCCTTCTGTTCCCAGTGTATGAGAAAACATACCTGGTCCAGGCAGGCCATAGAGGACAAGCTAGATCCTCCGTGCAGAGGAGAGGGCCACCATGCAGGGGATCACAGAGAAGGGAGGCACCCAGGCAAGGACTGGGACAAGACAAATGGCACCTGGTGATCAGCCCAAGTAGGCAGAGGCTGGAGGGGATGGTTTGGACTCTCAGGGTAGTCGGAGAAAGGAGGAATGGCCGGAAAGGCTAGTGTAGTAAGGGAAGGCTGCCTGGAAGTGGGGGAAATGGAACTGAGGTCTACAGGACAGGTCTGTTGTGGGTAGCCCCGGAAGGGAGAGGTTTCATTCTGACCTGACAGTGTCCATTTCTGCCTGTTCTCTGTACTGGAATCTCCCTCTACCACTGTCAGTCAATAAACAGATCCCCATGGACACAGCCCGGGCCTCCTTCTCCTCCCTGCTGCCAAGAAGGAGGTTGGAGGAGGGACAGACTATGTAGATGTGTTACATTAAGGGAGTCCTCACTTGGTTGGGGAACAGCAGGCAGTACGCTGGGACCCAGGAGGGCACGCAATGGGGAGGACATAAGAGAAAGACCTGGAGTTGAGGCATCTCCACTCCAGAGCAAAATAGGGAAAGAGACTCAAGCAATTTCCAGAAGAAGAAACCCAAAAGGCAAGCGGGTACAGGAAGAGATATTTACACCCATTAGATATCAGGGAGATGCAAATTAGGACAACAGTGCCATGGCACTTTACACCCATTTGGCTGGTGAACATTACAAAACTGGGTAATGCCAAGTGTTGGTGGGGCTGTGGGACTTAGGGACCTCAAGAGCTGCTGGTGGAGTGCAGAACTGAAGCATGCAATCTGGCACCACTGAATCACATCAACAGGAGGCATAATGGATGCCCAGCACTGCTCCTCCTGGGTGTGAGTCCCGGACAGAGGCTCACTCTCACAGATCCTGGAGGGGACCAGCATGTGCATGTTCACTAGAGTGCAGGGGAGACAGGACAGTAACCCATGGGCAATGACTCTACACAGCACCACATACAGCCAGAACAACAGACCAGATGTACGCAGGGAAACACGGGAGCGTCTCTTTTTTTTTTTTTTTTTTTTTAAGATGGAGTTTCGCTCTTGTCACCCAGGCTAGAGTGCAAGGGCGTGATCTCGGCTCACTGCAACCTCTGTCTCCTGGGTTCAAGCGATTATCCTGCCTCAGCCTCCCAAGTAGCTGGGACTACAGGCACCCATCACCACACCCAGCTAATTTTTTGCATTTTTAGTAGAGACAGTGTTTTGCTATGTTGGCCATGCTGGTCTCGAACTCCTGACCTCAGGTGATCTGCCCTCCTCAGCCTCACAAAGTGCTGGGATTACAGGCATGAGCCACTGCGCCCAGCCCTGGGAGCATCTCTTAAAAGCACAGTGCTGAGGGGGAAACGTTAGAAGCAGGATGAGGCATATGACCAACAGCATTTATGTAAATTAAAGTACAGACACATAAAACACCACGTATTTTGCAAGACACACAGAAACACAAGTATTCACATTAAGCATGCTTGCTTGTTTGCCTGTGAGAGGAGGCGAATGGGAGTGGTGAAGACAAAAGAGAGTACGTTTTAAGAATAAATAAAACAAGAGGCCCCTTGCACAGATACATAATCATAATGTAGCCTGAACTGAGGAATGATGAACACAGCTCAGCATCAGACATCCAAATAAAGAACGCAGGTGCGCTCCCCTTTAGAGGCCCATGTACTCACTCAAACATATGTCTATTCATTTACAGGTTTATTGGCTCCTCTGAGGCTTGGGCTAGAGCCCCAGGCCCCAGGAAAAGGAATGGATGAGAGCAGACACAGAGGGACCACAGAAGTCAGAAGTAAACATACAGGAACCTCAAAAGAGAGTCAGATGCAGAGACAGGGAGGAAGGGCCGCCCCTACCCCAGGCTGGGTAACAGCTGGGGTGGGGATATGGCCCCCTTGCTCTGCCAGAGCATGGCAGACCCATGGTAGCTGCCCAAGTTCAAGTGTGGACTCCAGTGGCATGATGAGGCAGCTTAGCACATAGATGTCAGCACCTTTGCCGCCGAGCGGGAAGGCGTGGTCCACTTAGCACGGGTCCTCCAGGCTGGCAGAAGCTCAGGGTCATGGCCATGCCACTTCCGTGAGATCTCAGTCCTCACCTCCAGGGACAAGGAAGAGGATGTTAGGAAGGTCCCCCTGTGGCTTTGCTACTCAACCCCAATGAGACTAAGGTGCAGGGAGAGGCCGTGTAAGAGAAACAGAGACATGGGGCAGGAAAAGTCATGCTTGGGCACAGGCACTACTAAGTACTACCTCTGGAGGATACTACTTCCTCCTTCCTGTGAGTATTTCTCACCATTCTTTTAGCTCCTTTCTCTGCCTTTTAGCCCTGCCTTTGTCTGAGCCCAGCTAAAGACATGTATAGGTGCTTTCTTGAGTTCCTGGTCAAATAACCACCCTGTTCTCTCTTAATCACTTG